TATACTTAAAAATTAGTTAAACTATCTAAATTAGTTAAGATATATTCAAAATATCATATAACATAGACTATGAAAATATTTAGAATATTATAAATTATCTAAATTACCTTAACATATAAAAATATTAACATATTTAACTAATTTCGGATACCTTCGGATCTTACTTCGGATTTTGGTTCGGTTCGGGTTATAACCGAAGTCCGAAGTACTAGGCTCATAAGTCCCATTCGGTTAGTTTTGTATAATGGTTTGGATCCGGATTCGGTTTTTTCGGTTCGGGTTTAGATCGGTACTTCGGATTGGGGTAAAAACGCCCATGCCTAGGGCAAAGGAAAGGTTGTTAGATCATTATTCTTACTACTGAGAAACGTGAAGACTATATATCGGTAATGAATCAAGGTCAATTGTTCATAGAGATGTTAGTTAACCATAAATGTAAGTTATTACAGTTTTTTTTTTTTTGGCAACAAGTTATTACAGTTTACTGTATGCATGATCCAATATTCATAATTTATGGTTTTTTTTACATGTTAGTTTTGTTAATCAATTTGCATCATCATTTTTTTGTTATATAGTGGTAGTATTTTTCAGATAAAAATAGTAACACTTAAAATGTAAAATTGTTTTTTAAGCGAGATAAAAATTACACTAACTAAATGAAGATAAGAAGGTAGAAAATCATGTGTAACTTTGTAACTAATCAGATTTTTAAAGCTATTTGGATTAGTTTCTTAGTTACGTATTTATGTAAATTATGTATAATTCGATAAATTATATATAGTTTTGCTGTTAAAGTCTATTATTTTGTTTTGTAAATATATAATTCCAAAATAACATTTATCTACAATTGATTTATTACATGTAACTCTTAACTTTTGACTATATATATAAATGTAATTGTTTTTTTCCTAATACAAAGTATTTTATTTTGTACTATATATAAAAAGAACTAACCACCAGCGCAACAGCGCGGTCAAATACTAGTAGAGGTATAAACTACATACATGATTCATAGGATACATCCACATAAATAAACAAATTAATATTTTTAATTAATTAAAAAGTAATTTATATCAGAAAGAAAACAACAGAGAAACGTAATACCAGTTTCTTTTCTTATTTATTGTCTTTGTTACTGTATTTGCTTGATTTGAGGCAGTTAACTTTGTATTTAAAGAAGTTCGAGTCAAAGACGCTGATGATCAACAAATCTGACTCTTTTGATGTTACAGAAAAGGATCATACGTACATAAGATTTAGTAAAATCCTAAATCAACAGATGTTCTTAATCTCTGCACATGTATATAAAAACCGTGTAGTCGTAGTTATTGGGAAACAACACATGAAGATGCGTCTAACTCCACCATTATAGAATCTTCTTTTCAAATTATAAATGGTAATAACCAGATATCAAAATGTATTAAAAACAGAAAGTAAATAAGAGAAGCAAACAACCAGCACTGGAGATGCCTATTAGGGAGAGTGAAACTTGATAATTTGATGGTGCAAAAAAATTGTGAACACAATTTATATAGAATTGAAAAGACATAAAAGGGAAAAGATACAACTTTACAACGAAAAGATATATTATATTTATTGTAAACAGTTATAAACGAATAAATACAATAAATAGGTGTGAGTAAAAATATAATGAAAAGACGTAACCGTATAAAATAATTAAGATTGTTGGACTTGGATCCAAAACGCCATGTATAGTTCCCATTAAATGCATGTCGAATTAATTCGTTCAAATAAAATATCAAAACATTTAAAGATTTTAACTATTACTAGATTTTGACCCGCGCTTAGAAAGCGCGGGTTTTCTTAGATTATAAATGCAATTTGAAGTTGTTATAAAGTGAAGCAGAGATTTTTTTAAAAAATTATACAACTTATGAAGTAGCTTGTTTGGGATTTTGTATATACATTTGTATTTATATGTAATTCTTTCTTACGTATGTAAATTTTCTACGGATCCAAGAAAATCAACGAAAAAAAGAAGATTTGGTTTGGGTTTCGATTTTGGATAGTTTTTACCTGTGGGTCTTGGTTCGGATGTGAATCCTATCTGAGACTCAATTAAGATACTCAAAATACCAGAAATATTCTATTTTTATTAGATATATTTGGGTATTTCAGTTTTTTTTTTTGTATTATATACATTCTTTAAATTTCAGGTTCGCATTTTCCGTTAAAGTTTCGAGTTTCAAGTAAAATTCAAAATTTTGAAATATATTTCAATTATTTGAATAATTTTTGGATATTTTTTGGTTTAAAAGGTTAGATTTCAGATATTTATGGGTTTTCTGGATATTTATTGTTTAAAATTATTTAAATTTTGGATATTTGTTTGGGTTTTAGATATTTTCGGATACATGCCTGCTATACATCCAAAAATTAAAGTATTTTACGGATATTGGAAGTAAACCAACTCATACTACATAGTATCATCATTTATATTCATCTAGGAGTTTTTACTATTTGGATACTAAAGACATAAATGATACATAAACTTAAAATCGGCTACTATAAAAAAATTGACTTAAGTATTTAAAAATGAGAAATTATTGATTCAAAGTGGCATTTTCAGTTAGATACTTAGAATTTTATTTTTATGTTTGCTAAGAAAAATTAATCTTTATTTTTGAATTTGATTTTTTTGGTTTCTTAAGTTTTCAAAGACTCGAACCCACTTTACTGACATATGTGATGTAGAAAATGTTAATAAAAGTCTATCAAATTTAGTTAATCATATTAAAATTGTAGATATTTTTGGAGATTTTAAAATTATTTTTAAATGAATATTGGAAGATTTATGGCCTGTAATATGGTTGAAGATAATAAATATTTTATATAAATTAGAGTAGCATATATTATAATTTATTTTTGTAACACTTTGTATAATTAAAAATTTAAAGTGTGCAAAAGATACCAACGTGACGTCCAAGCCTCACGTCATTAATGGGCCTATGAGCCGTTTATAATTAGTTGTTACTGTTTTGTTACGTTTGTGGATATGTTGTAATTATTAAAGCAAATTAATCACNCCAAGCCTCACGTCATTAATGGGCCTATGAGCCGTTTATAATTAGTTGTTACTGTTTTGTTACGTTTGTGGATATGTTGTAATTATTAAAGCAAATTAATCACAAAATCTTAGGAGGATTTTATAGATTAGTAATAATGTTGTATAGTTAGAGAAAATAAAGGTAAGACTAAAAAATAGTAATTCGAATGAAAAGGTCCGAACAACTTGTATAAGTAGATTTTTTAAAACTCCTTCTCTTTTAATAGTATTGATATTTACAACAAATGTGAATTAGGTTTTTAAGTGGATAATCGAAAATGAAAAACGACATTTTTCAATGCTACAACGCATCCATTCATATCATGATTAATGGTCGTATCTCATAGGTGAATCTGATGATCTTCCTCCTTGGAGTTATGTTCCAAAGTCGTGTGGTCTCAACTAGAGATTTTGGAATTGGTAAAATATGGAGGGACAAGAGAAGAGAAGCAGCTCTTGGCATATATTACATGCCATGAAATATAGCCAGGACGGCAATGATGAAAACGAAAAGGAATTGAGGCAGGAGTTAAAATCCATGTCTAGGGCTTCAATATCTTCTCAGCTTCTGTTTCCTGCTAAATTTAAACGGAAAAATTGTCATTTAAATCACCAACTTTCAAATTTAGTTGAAATAAATCATCAATTTTCTCATAAGCCAAAAAAATATTCAACTTTTGTAGATAAGCCATTTTAATCACAAACTTCCGTTGACTGTACCAATTTAGTCATATCGTTAGTCAATAGTTATAGTTGACTAACGGTAGGCCTAAAATGGCTTTCAAAGTTGATGTTTTTTTTTGCACAAATATAAATCAATATTTTTTACAATATTGGATATATTTTAAATATTGAAAATATTTTTATAACTGAAGCACTAATAAAAAATCCAATAAAAATATAAATAAAACTCAATGTAAAATAATTACTTAACATACATTAATTGAGTATCTTAGTTATGAAATGATAAGAATATTTTACTTATTCACAATTAATTTTTGTAAATATTTATATAATCCTATTTGAATTATGTTTTATAATTTTATTTTCAAAAGTTTGTTGATGAAATATTAATTCAACTCTTGATTCTTAAGTGAAAAGAGTTATTGGTTAACGAACTATTCATGATTCTTTATATTTATAGTAAAGATCTTCCAACAAATCTATATAGTTTCTATAAAAATTTTGTTTCGTCACCAAAATCGATAATTAACTCTTTTTGTTATCCGATAACTCATTTTGTTTAAAAAATCAAGAATTGAAGTAATATTTCACTAACAAAAATTTTACAGTAAAATTATAAAACATAATCCGAGTAGGATTATATCAATATTTTTTAAACATTAATCGTAAATAATTAAAAAAATCATAATCATTTTTTAACTAAAATACTCAATTAAGGATATGTTAATTTATTATTTTACATTGAGTTCTGTTTATATTTTTGGTTGGAATTTATTTTTTATTTACAATTTCATTTATTAGTATTATATTTATTAAAAGTTTCAATATTTAAAATCCAATATTTTGAAAAATGTTGATTTATATTTGTGCCAAAAAAACCATCAACTTTAAAAGTCATTTTAGGCATACCGTTAGTCTACTATAACTGTTGACTAACGATATAACTAAATTGGTATGGTTGACGAAAGTTTGTGATTAAAATAACTTGTCAACAAAAGTTGAGTGTTTTTTTGGTTTATGAGAAAGTTGGTGTTTTATTTCAACTAAATTTGAAAGTTTGTGATTTAAATGAAATTTTTTCCAAATTTAAATGGGCACAACATCGTCTTTTTGACTTGTTTTAGTTTATATGGTTACATTCGATTATTATTATTTTTTTTGTTTGATAAAGGGCTTACATTCGATTACGTTTTGATTGACAAAACAATTGCGTGTAAGTTGAGTTTTGCTTCGTTATTCTTTTTCTATTGATTCTTGCACTTTGCGCATTTATTCTGGTTTTCGACCGACAGATATCATAATAGCACCAATCTTCAAAAGAAACGTGTTATACAAGGCACAAGCCTTAAAGATTAGGCAAACTCAAAACCCACAAAAAAAGTGTAACGCTTTGTTTATTGAAAGCCAGAGACTGTGATGTCATACAGTCAATCTGAGACTGTGATGTCTATCTTTGTTCCATAAAATGCACCATCTCCTTCGTTCAACTGCCAAAAACAACACACTTCAGAATAATGCGGACTAGTGAATAAATAAACTCAAAAGTATTCATCCATCAATGAGTTCCCATACCTGCCATGTCTTTCCCGAAGCATCTAGGGATACTTTGAGAGCATTTTCAGCTTTATCCCATGTTGCCAAATCACCAAGGTACTTTTCTGGCCTCTGAAATTTTAATATTACATGAAATTACTGCGCAATAAAGAACAAATCAAACAAACTATACTAAATTTGAAGTAATTTAGTATATGGTACCGTTGAAAGCTTTAGCTCATAGGTAAAACCAAAGACTGTGAATGCATAGTCAATGAACTCCAACACAGATTTCACTTCTTCCGTAACCTGCAAACAGATAACATTAACCAAGAAAAAATGGGATGAAAAGGAGCTCCAAGATTGACAGACACAAACCTGATCCTCTGTACAGAATATGTGTGCATCATCCTGAAATAAGTTCGCGATTATCGTATACAACTACGCAACATGGAATTGTAAGAATAATAATAATAATAATAATTAAAAAAAAACAAAGTAAACAGGGATATAAAATATACCTGCTGGAACCGTCTGCCACGAGTCAACCCACTAAGGGATCCACTTGCCTCATTGCGGTGTAACAATCCAAAGTCAGCCAGTCTAATAGGTAATTCTACAGACCATATAAGCCGTAAAAGATGTAAGCATAGACAAATGATAGACTTGAAAACTTCTCGTATCTATATTTGTAAGATTTGTAGATCTACTTCTACTACTATCATCATTCCTAGATCTGTTTTTTTATGATATCAAAATGCACTATACGAACAGAGTCGCACCTCTGTATGAGCGAACCCTGTGTTGGAACATCAAGCAGTGACCAGGGCAGTTCATAGGTTTGAACCCGAACTCCTGCTTCTCAATCTGCATAAGGAACATTCGCAAAAGTCAATCACGTGTAGAATATAACCTAGGCTAAACATGGGCTTCAAGTGAGAAGCATGTTGAATTGTCAGAGTCGACTCTTACATCAAAAGTAAACATATTCTCCTCGTAATTTGCAGCATGTCCGGAAGTTTCCCACAGACTCATGTACATATTTGGCGTTATGACCTGCCAGTGCAAGGTCAATTTAGCGATCCTAACTCTTCAACTATGCCTAAGATGAGATGAGAGAGCATAGAAAAAAACCTCTGTGTAATCCCTTTTCCAGTATTGCTCCTTAATGAATCCCATCAACTTGTTATATACACGAGTGCCGAGTGGAAGAAAGAACCAACTCCCAGGGCTGAAGCTCAAAACGAGTATGTATATATATATATATCAATCTAGTGAAACATAAAGAGGAAAACACTGTTGGGTAGCACTCAAAAAACCTGAGTGGATGATTAAAGAATAGTTCCTGCTTTTGGCCCAATAGTCTGTGGTCATACTTTTTGGCTTCTTCTAGAAATTGAAGATATTTCTGCAACAAACCAATACAAAGACGATGGATATTATGCATTCTGAGAAATCAACGCAGTAGTCATAATATTTTAAGAACATTGCGTACCTTCAGCTGTTTCTGATCTGGGTAAGATATCCCATAAACTCTCTGCAAACTTTCACGTTCTTTACTTCCCCTCCAGTAAGCTGATGAGGCCTGAAAAAACTATATTGATCAACACAAGAAACAAAACTAGAATCTGCATAGATGTCACTCTTAGTAGGGATATAGAGGTAACTCACCCTCAAACACTTGAAAGCTTTCATAAAAGAAGTGTTTGGTATGTGCGGTCCACGACACAAGTCAACAACAGGGCCACATCTATAGACAGTAATGGTCTTGTCCGCAGGTAAATCGTTCATGATTTCAACCTAGATGATCAACATCAGAAGTATGAGTCCAAAAACCAAATTCAAAGAGGAGAAGACATACAGTATATGAATGTGGGGTTAGAGAAACATAACAAATTAAATGATAATAATATGTAGCTTTTAACACACCTTAAACTTGTTATCAGAAAACATCACAATTGCCTGATCTTTTGTCACTTCAATCCTTTCAAATGGTTGCGCTTCCTGAGATGTAAATAGAAGAGAATGTGAATTAAAAGTTGAGTGAGACATTCATTCGTAAACGGTTTGACAAAAATAAGTAATGTGTTTACGACATATATTAAACTTAGCAGACTAAGGAAGAAACAATACCTTAGCAGCTTTCGCAGCACCGGCTTCGATGTTAGGAAAGTGATTGTCATTTAGAGCCAACTCGTCATAAAATGCATCATAGTAGAAACCCTGCAATAAAGAATCCATAACGTACATCAAATAGCCACCTTTACACAGCATTACAGAATAGCAAGAACCAAACAAAGTTTCCTCCTTCCTTGTTCTACTCTTAGCCAGTAAAACATACACACAAACTGCTCTTACCTCTCCTCTCGTCGTACATGGTCCTATGCAAAGCTGACACCCATACTCCTGCTCAAGAGCCTGCACCAATATCCACAGTAAAACAAATCATTCGCCAAGATTAAAACTTTCAATAATCAAATAATACCAAACAAAAAACCCTCTTTTTACCTGACCAAGAATGTGAGCACTAGAGTGCCAAAGAGTGCCCCTCCCTTTATCGCTACCAAATTTAAACAGCTCAAGCTTACAGTCACCTTCCAAAGGCCGACTAATATCCCAGAGCTCATCGTTAGCTTTGATCTGTAAGGAGATAGCATCTTGGGTCACTAATTTATACCCACCCTCAAACCTTCTACCTTTCTCTTTCTGCGCCCTTTTGTTAGCCTTCTTTCTTGCCCTTTTCTGGGCATTCTTAGTTGCATGTTTCTGCATCTGTTCCTTCCTCCTTTTTTTTCTCGCCTTTTCCTTTTCCGGTATCTCTCTCAGTCTCGCCTCCTTGGCTTCTTGGATCTTCTCAACGTTTCTTTCACGCTTGCTCTTCACTTCCATAGGAAGAGACAAAAACTCCCTTAATGCCCTTTTCTCCTTGGCTCCTTCGAGCTTTGCAGATTTCGAATTCTGGCTATGAATAACCATAGTCGCATGCCCTCTTCTTTGCAATAGATTTAAATCAGTCTGAAAATCCCCATCTCCCGTGATTAACACTGCTTTTTGACCTGTTTCAGCTGTGACAAGCCAGAACGGAATCAACGATTTGATTTTACAATCAGCTGATTGATCCCCCGTTGTGTCATCATCGGTTGGTCCTGTAACCGAAAGAAAAATATTAAATAATACAAATTAAAAAAGAGAAATACACATACACGAAACTCACTTGGATAGTAGTTGGCATATAAGACTTCAACTCGGCCAATTAGCTCTCTTGGGATAAATGAAGATGTATATCCTAGAACAAGTTTAATTTTCAACCCATGTTCTCGGCCCCAACCTGCACGTTTGATTCTGGAAACCAGTCTATCAAACATTTCCCCGACAGATGTATCGAAGGGAATAGGGACGTTTTCATAATCCCACCATACAGGATCTTCCTTCTCCTTCATAAATGGAGAGATCAAACTATCATAGTGTTTCTCCGCAGCATCATATAACCTACATCAGATTCTAACTCTAAGTTTAAAATTTAGATAAATTTGTACAAAAAAAAAGTGCAAACAACTTACACGCTGATTGTCCGTGTAACTGCATTATCATAGGGTGTAAAAGCCTCAGGGTCTAGAGGAGAGTCTTTCTTGTAAACATGTATGCAACAGCGGGTGAGAGAGGCAAGTGCCAACAACTCTGGTTCCGCTCCCCATATAAAACCAGTGCGTATTCCCTCAATGTATTGCGCAAGACTCTGACGTCTTCCCTCCTTATCATACTTAAGAACATAGCGCTTGTATTTTATAGGATGTTCCTGTAACATATGTAGCACTATCAGTAATTTTATTTTAAAATCAAAGGGATCTGGCTTTTTGACATGAAAAGGCAATCTGTGAAATGTGAGGGACAGATGTTTGAGCTCGTTAACTCCAGGGGAAGAGCTAAGCAGAAGCGTAAAGAAGGTGAAGAAACAGAGGCTGAGAGGGAGAGGTACTCATTGAAGTGCATCAGAGAAAAAGAATAAGGCTTAAAGAAGCAAAAGAGTAAGTTCAGCAAGTCAGAGAGGTTCAAATATAAAGCTGGAGCAGTGAACTAGCTATATGAAGAAGAGAAGCGATGCATGAAACAGATGAAGAGAATTAAGTATGAGTTGAAGTTGGGAGAGCTACTACAGGGGCGTAAGAGAGTTTTGAAGAAGTTGGGAAAGTGGATGAAACATAAATTTAAGCTGAAGAAGCAGGAGGAATGGATCAATAAAGGTGGAGTGTGATGAAGATTAAGAAGCTGCTGGCTGCCAAGAAGGGAAAGAGGGACATGTCGTTGGAGTATGGGGTTCATGGAAAACTTATGTCGTTGGTTAAGATAACATGTGTGAAGATCAAGATGGAGGCAAGAGGCACAATATCAAATATAAATGTACGAACATGAGATCTTCTCAGATGCAGAACGAGCAGCATGAGTATAGAGAAGCGTAAAGGAGGAGAAGAAATAAGCATATAAAGGAAAATTCATACCAGCATTAAGTCAGCAACTTTTTCGCGATATGTGAAGTGTTTTCCGTCATCCCCGTCGAGCTGATGAGCTACTGCTCGGAATAAGCAATTCCCGTCGCCTTCAATCTCGTGGATTTGAAATCCTATTTCCTCATAACTGCTCGTTCCTTTGGAACTCTTGGACTGGCTTCCACTCGTTCCTTTGGCTCTCTTGGCTCTCTTGGCTCTCTTGGCTCTCTTTGACTGGCTTCCACTGGGAGGCTTAACTAGACTCTGGTAGTGGAACCCCACTGGATCATATAAGAGGCTAAGCGTTTTGGGTGGGACTTCTCTAGTTGCATCCTCATAAGGTTCGTAAACCCGACGGCCTGGAAAGTTTACCTGGCAACAAACCAACCCAAATATTCAATAGGGAAAGTATAAAACACTATCATAGGTGTAAAGGCAATTTACCTGGTACAAGTGGATGATACAGTCGAAGGCCTTTGCCGCTGCCATCAGCTCCAGGTCATCGCCCCAAGCCTTGTTTTTCAACTTTTTTATATATTCATCATAGCTCTCTGTTGTGGCGTCATTGTCATCTCTGCTCCGGTGGAAGGGATCGTAAACATCCCGGTTATCCTCCATATGCTGAGCAAGCTGTTTACGGTATTCTGAGTGTAAATCCTCATGACTGACGAGCTGATGGGATAGCGCTCGGAAAAAGCAGTTGCCGTCACCTAAAACATCTCGGACTACAAACCCTAGCTCTCCGTAAGTAACTCCTTTATCTTCTTCCTGAAGAAAAACAAAAAGGCCAAACCATTGAGATTGTAACTCGCAAATAGGAGTGTCAAGATGGGCAAAATTTTCTATGGACCAAAAACAACCAATCCCAAATTCACTCGCCCCAAATAGATTAGTTGGGCTTAAACCCAAATTATGAAATTCAAAACCCATATCATTAAAGAAATCTAAATTTGTCTACATTCCATTAAGCAGAAACATTGATTGAATAAAACTGTTTTGATATTTCATGCAATTTAACGTAAGACAACTTGTCAAGCTTTAAACGATTTAAGTAAAACTCAATGGTTTGGCCTTAAGTAAAACTCATGGTAGTAAGCACAACGCTTAAGTCACAATAGTAAAACTCAAGGTAGTTAAGCACAACGCTTAAGTCACGATAGTAAAACTCAAGGTAGTTAAGCACAAAAGTAAAACTCAAGGTAGTTAAGCACAACGCTTAAGTCACGATAGTAAAACTCAAGGTAGTTAAGCACAAAAGTAAAACTCAAGGTAGTTAAGCACAACGCTTAAGTAAAACTCAAGGTAGTTAAGCACAAAAGTAAAACTCAAGGTAGTTAAGCACAACGCTTAAGCCACGATAGTAAAACTCAAGGTAGTTAAGCACAACGCTCAAGTAAAACTCAAGGTAGTTAAGCACAACGCTTAACTCAAGGTAGTAAAACTCAACGATTTAAGTAAAACTCAAGGTAGTAACCACAACGCTGAAGCGAGCAGCTTCTCAGGTCACGATGTCAAACCTCTGGACAGAGAGAACGGAGTTTCTCAAACGCCAGCGGTTAACTTCAAAAGGATTGACCGTACGGTACGGAGGAAGATTGCTCTGTTTCAACCTTTCTTTGATGCAAGAATGGCTCAGATATGAGTAATTGGTTAGTCATCCTAGATGTTTTTGTTGTTAGCTTAGCCTCAAAACCCTAAATCCTAAACACAGAAGAATCAAATAAACCCTAAATCGCAAGAACAGACCATCGATCGGTTTATACCTGAACACTCGTCGCCGCCGTCGGTCCACTCGTCGCCTTCGCCTTCGACGTCGGTCCACTCGTCGCCTTCGCCTTCGACGTCGATTCACTCGTCGCCTTCGCCTTCGACGTGGATTCACTCGTCGCCTTCGCCTTCGACGTGGATTCACTCGTCGCCTTCGCCTTCGACGTCGATTCACTCGTCGCCTTCACCTTCGACGTCGATCCACTCGTCGCCTTCACCTTCGACGTCGATCCACTCGTCGCCTTCGAGCTCCGACGTCGTCTCGTCATGATTCTTTTTCACCTTCCTCGTGCGAGAAATCAATACCAGAGGTTACCGAAATCGTTCGAGGGAAAGTAGCGGGAGCTGCGATAAACAGTATCCAGGTCTCTCCACTGTAATCAATGAAGTAGGATTCGTTCGTGTTTTAAAGGAAATTTGGGCGGAAGAACAATTGAAAACGACTTCCGTTGGTGCGTTTAACTGCTTACCCCCAAAAAAAAAACGGATCATAAATATATAATAATATAATCCTTTATAAACCGAAGTTATTTTAACATATGTAATAGTAGGCATACGTAATCTAGACGAATAGATTTCTCAAAGAAAGCCCAAGATTTAATAGATTTCTCAAAGAAAGCCCAAGATTTTGTTGATAGTTATATTATTTGCTATGGATGATAAAAAAGAAGTTCCCAAGCAACCCATATGTTGAAATTTTAATAAACAACTACTTAAGTTATCATCAATCAACAATTAAGTGAAATGAAGTATTCAACTTTTTATTAAAATTGCTTACCTTTTGTTAGTGTGGTTCTTCACAGATTTCTTCCCATATATACTTACTCAATTTACAACCATCATCCATCACTTAAAGTAATGAAGTTTGCTTCTAGAGTTATTAACTTATTATTATCACCTACGAGATCCACGTTAATTAACGTTAGTGCTCGGTATGCTCTAAGATACGATCCCAAATAACCATATATACCAAGATTTAATTATATTCTTCTCGATTTCACTATTACATCAAGTTTTGTCTTTTTTTTTTGTAACACCTCATAAAGTTTGTCTACTGAAACAAAATTTCTCTTCATATGAAATATTTTTAAAAAACCTTACACATTATGTTCTAGATATAAAATTTTGCAGGCCTTGTGACATCCACTGGCATAAAGTTGGTGCGAGTAGTGAATGACATTCGAAAGCGGGATGTGTATTAGTAGTGTATATATGCCCCAGTGCTTTCATATTTTTCAATTTTTTACCTTTTTTATTTGTTTAAACATATATGTATGTTATCTTCACTCTCCCCTTCAACCATATGAGTTATACACATGTTTACACAATAATAGTTCAAGCAAAATCAAATCATAAATGTTTATATAATATGTGTGTGTGTGTGTGTGTGTATTCTTAACTTTGTGATTAAGCTATAGACTAGATTAGAAGTGGTACGTGCGACTGAGATTTTTGGGGTTTGTATAACCAAATAGTTTATGCTGTTTATGCTACTGATATAACGACTGGAAGCGATTTGCGCTCGTAGAAACTGATCAGAATACATGAAAAAGAACTAGGAACGATCTATGAACTAATTTGTTAATACACACATAATTATTCTTGTACGAAATAATAAGTTATAATAATTGTGTAGTCATATCACTGCAATAACTGTTGAAGATAAGAGAGAGAGAGAGAGAGAGAGAGAGAGAGAGAGAGAGAGAGAGAGACGAAGAAGAAGAGTAATCAAGATTCGAGAGAGATATTCAAGTTTCTTTTCATTTCACAATTCTTCACGGTACGCAACAATGAAACGAGATGTTGTACTCATTAGATCTTCACAATATTAGTTCTAATCATTTTGTCGCGTTCAAGTTCGATCCAAGGTGGAAGATTCACCACTACAAAAAGAAAGCATAACTTGAGCGTTGCTCGAGTGCAAGATTACAAGAATCATCACGAGTTTGTGATCACGGAGATGTCAACGTTTAATAATATAAGCTTGTAAGATCAATGAATAACAAAGAACGTGCTCTCTTTATTAAATCCTTAAGGAAAATCACTCAAAACCTTAAGCTCACAAACTCAATCTATCACAACGCATAAGTTGATGGCACAACTCACCATCTTCTTATATAGGAAATATAAAACCTAAACTCATTAGTAAAACTATTTCCTAATCACAAAACAATAAGGATTAGTTAGACTTGTTTCCCAAGTTAACTTCAAGATTATTCCCAACATTCACCCCTTTAATCTTGACGTTAACATCTTCAACTCCCACAAGCTCTCTCATCTCTTTGAATTTGATTTTCCCAAGTGCTTTAGTCAAAATATCTGCTTTCTGCTCATTCCCCGGTATGTGTTGAACATCAACTTGATTATTCTCAATGCATTCACGAATGAAATGGTATCGTTTGTGAATGTGTTTGCTTCGTCCGTGAAACACAGGATTCTTTGTCAATGCTATAGCTGATTTGTTGTCTAGATAGATCACCACTCTGCAACTCGGCTTGTCTGCAACTTCTTCCAATATGTCCTGCAACCAGATTGCTTGCTTCGCAGCTTCAGTGGCAGCCATGAATTCTGCTTCACAAGACGATAATGCCACTGTGCCTTGTTTTTGTGAGCACCATGTGATTGGGCAATCATTCAAGTAGAAGATGTATCCAGTAGTACTTCTTCCATCATCCTCGTCAATATTGTGACTAGAGTCACTATATCCAACTAGCTCTGTCTTATTTGTTTTCTGGAAAACGAGGCCGAGAGATGTAGTTCCTTTAAGGTATCTGAGTACTTGCTTGAGTGCTGCACCATGGGATGTCTTTGGATCATGCATATACCTACTTAACAGGCCAACACAAAAGGCCAAATCAGGGCGTGTATGCAAGAGATATCGTAGACATCCAATGTGTCGCCTATACTCCTTTGCATCAATGCTCTGTTCTGTGCTTGCGTTGGACAGTTTTAGACCAAACTCCATTGGAGTATGTACTGCGTTGCAATGTTCCATACCAGCCTCGATCAAGATCTTTTCTGCATACCGTTCCTGCTTCAAGCTTATCCCTGTTTCATGTTGATTTACTTCGATACCTAAGTAATAGGTTAGTAGACCTAGATCACTCATCTCAAAGTTAGCCGACATCTCTGTTTTGAAGTTATATATCATGTTGACGTCTGAGCCGGTGACTAGTAGATCATCAACATAGACAGCCACCAAGAGTATCTGCTCCTTTTCTTTCTTCTGATACAGAGATGGTTCTTTGGAACATCTTACAAACTTCAAGCCTTCAAGTACGCCATTTAGTTTCTCATTCCAAGCTCTTGGAGCCTGTCTCAAGCCATACAAAGCTTTATGTAATTTGTAAACCTTTCCCTCACTGCCTTTTATCTCGAAACCTTCAGGTTGACTAACATAGACATCTTCTTTTAGATCACCGTGGAGGAATGCTGTCTTGACATCTAAGTGATGAATTTGCCATCCGTTTGTAGCTGCTAGTGATATGATGAATCTTATTGTTTCAATGCGGGCAACGGGAGCAAAGACCTCCTCAAAATCCACACCATGTCTCTGAATGTAACCCTTGGCCACAAGTCGAGATTTATGTTTGTTTAAACTTCCATCTGCGTTGCGTTTAACTTTGAAAATCCATTTCAAACCTATCGCTTTAGCTCCTTTAGGTAAATCAACCAAACTCCATGTTTTGTTCTTGACAATGGATTCAATCTCGTCTCTACATGCATCTCTCCACACTTGTTCTTCCATGGCTTCTTTAAAGTCCCACGGTTCATCATTCAGTAGTAGCAACAGTCGCTCACCTTCTTCTTCTGCATTAAGTATGTAATCATCCAGGTAGCCTGGAGTTTTACTGATTCTTGATGACTTTCTTTGTGGTATTTGCTCTATCTCGTTCTCAACGTTGTCTCCTGTAGTTGGGTTTTGATCTTCCTGAATGACATCTTGCTCATTTTCTGTGCCCTCATTTTCTATTCGGTTCTCAGCTTCATCTTCTATTCTATCATGGCTCTGTTCTAGACCTTGGTTTCCAAACTCTCCGAGTACGATTTTGAAGTCTCCTGGTTGTTCCGTTGTTTCTTCATTCTCTTTGACCCACTTCCAGTTTTTATTTTCATCAAATACTACATCTCTACTGACTATAATCCTTCTTGCTCTTGGATCAAACATCCTGTAAGCTTTGGATCCTGGTTCTGTCCCGAGGTGGATTAGAGTACGAGACCTATCATCTAGCTTCTTAGTATTGTGTGCGTCGATTTTAGTATACCCTATGCATCCAAATACTCGTACATGATTGATGTCTGGTTTTCTTCCTTTAAATACTTCATACGGTGTCTTAGATAGTAGTGCTTTTGTTGCAACTCGGTTGATGATATAAGTTGAATGTCTGATAGCTTCACCCCATAGATGATTCGGTACTTCCATGTGCTTGAGAATGCTTCGTGTCATTCCTAACAGAGTGCGATTTCTTCTTTCTACCACTCCATTCTGCTGAGGCGTATATGGAGCTGTTAGGTGTCTTTGTATCCCAGTTTCCTCACAAAAGTTTTGAAACTCTGCTGATGTGAATTCTCCACCACGGTCCGTTCTTAGTACTTTGATGTTTTCTCCAGTTTCGTGTTCTACTGTGGCCTTGAAGCGTCTAAATTTTTCAAAAGCTTCTCCCTTCTCGCTTAAGAGGATTGACCACATATATCTTGAATGGTCATCTATAAGCACAAATATGTATCGCTTCTTTCCTGCTGTAGGTGGTGAGATTGGTCCACAAAGATCTCCGTGTATGAGTTCCAATACTTTCTTTGCTCGATATGTTGTAGCTTTTGGAAAAGGTGCTCTTGTTTGCTTCCCAAGTAAACATGAATTGCATATTTCTTTTTCAAGTTTAATCTTCGGAAGTCCAGAGACTAGATCCTTTTCTATCATTACTTTCATCACGTTGAACCCAATGTGTCCAAGTCTAGCATGTAACTTTCCTGAGTCGCTGTGTACCTGAAGTTGAAGACACTTAGTTTCATCGATCTCCATGAATACTTTGTAAAGACGGTTCTTAGAGCGAATTGCTTTGACTATCATATTTCCAGACTTGTCATGTAGAGTAAGGTAGTTGTCTTTCATTCTCACATCACAACCTGCTTCGGTTGCCTGTCCAAGGCTAATTATGTTACTCCTGAGGTCTGGAATGAAATACACATCTGCAAGAACTTTTCTTTCTCCGTTTTGGGTGATGAATAACACAGCTCCTTTGCCTTTTATATCAATTCTTGAATCATC